AGAGAGAGAGAGAGAGAGAGAGAGAGAGAGAGAGAGAAAGAGAGAGAACTAAAAATAGTAAAAGTTTTAAAAAATAAATCTCTTAAAAACTTATGAACCAACCTAATAGGTATTTTTTAATGTTCTATAGCAAAACATAAACAATACAATCTAAATTACATTTGTGAATTGCCTGTGCTTACCAGAACTGGGATTAAGGACGGCCCTCTTCTCCCAGGCTTTAGCATGTTTACTTCAGATGTCCAAGAGAAAAGGAGAGTAGCTGAGGGTATTGAAAACATCGCACCTTTGGGAAGAACTGGAAGGAAAGTCATTTCTGGCAGTGCAGCCAGTGTTTATCTCTTGGTATTAAAATGTCTGCATTGAGAATGGGAAGCCAGCTTTCCCATCGCTCTGCCCAGGACTCCGGCTCAACTGTCTGTGGCCTTCCCCGTCAGCCCTGCTGGATGTTGCAAATGCCTGCTTTGGTGATGTCTGTTGGTCTGTCTACTACTTCTAGCTGCTGCCTTCTATTTTTCTTTTACTTTTGCTTGCTATGCAATTAATAAGCTCACTCACTCAAGAAGGAAGAGCGAGTATTGCTGACCATCCTCCATACAGAGCACAAAACAATGCCAGTCTCACAGAATTGTGTCCTCTCTGATTCTTGCAGATGCTGTGAGGAGGATTTGGTAGAATTCCCAAGTGAAGCTATGCCATTGAACCATCTTTGTGGGGACGTTTTCTGCTGCTGATTTAGTCTCACTGTAGATTTACCCAGATTTTCTGATCCTTCATGATTTAGAGATAAAAGCTTTTGTGTTCTTGGAATTTTCTTATTCCATCCAAGATAGCCAATTTTTTAGCATTAAGTTTTATGCTATTCTCTTTTTTAAAATTCAATTTTTTTTTCAAGACAGAGGTTCTCTGTGTAGCCCTGGCTGTCCTGGAACTCACTCTGTAGACCAGGCTGGCCGTGAACTCACAGAGATCCACCTGCCTCTGCCTCCCGTGTGCTGGGATTAAAGGTGTACGCCACCACCCCCCGACTTTTTATTGTCTTAAGTGTACGTATGTGTGTGTGTGTTTGTGTGGGTGCAGAATAGACAGTGGGATTCCTTGGAGCTGGGCTGCCTGATGTGGGTGCTGGAAACGGAACTCTAGTCCTCAGAAAAGAGCAGCCAGTGCCCTCAACACTGCCATCTCTCCGGCTAGTGCTCCCTCAACACCGCTATCTCTCCGGCTAGTGCTCCCTCAACACCGCCATCTCTCCGGCTAGTGCTCCCTCAACACTGCCATCTCTCCGGCTAGTGCTCCCTCAACACCGCCATCTCTCCGGCTAGTGCTTCCTCAATACCACCATCTC